TGCAGCCTTTCTCGCTCTTCCGATCTGCGAGAAAGGCTGCTTGGTTCAGGAAATGTGCAGCAATACACAATTTCTGTATGTCAGGGGTTAGAAGGATTAAGGGCTTTAAAGGCACCAAGGGGAGAAGAGTGGAGCAGGTACAGAGGATCTGGAGGAGAGCACAAATGGATGATAGTCATCTGTCTCGATAAGTAGACTCCGAGGAAAAACAAAGCTGCAAGTTGCAGAGATCTGTACAGCGAGGCTGGCACCTTAAGTGAGACACGGAAAATGTGGCAGCATGACGAGTAAAGGGCTTGAAGTGCAAGATTTAACGCCTGATGTAACTGCAGCTTTTCAGAGCTTCTCCTAATTGTTTGTCTGAATAGCTTTCCTCTCCTTCTTTTAATCCATCTGCAGCGGTAGAAGACAGAAAACTCTTCATCGGAATGATTTCAAAGAAATACGGCGAGAACGAGATCAGGATGATGTTCTTGTCTTTCGGACAAATGGAAGAGTGCCGAATCCTCCGGGGCCCAGACGGTCAGAGCCGAGGTAGGTGTGCCTTCATATCCTCAGCGAGCATTCACTCAGGCCCCTCCCTACTTCCTCATTTAAACCCCCCAAAATCAAGTGCTATTCCATTCCATCCCCGCCGTCGTTACTCTCGTCCTCCACGTCTCACAGCGAAAGGGCCGCCGCACTCGCAGTCCGGCACAATGGGCCCCATCGCCTTGGCAACCGCTGGCTGCCGGTGTTTTTTCGTGGGCTCAGCTGGCAGGCGGCTCGGCTCGGCTCCTCTTTTAACCGCCTCCTTCATCACACTCTACAAAGGCCGGAATTGGCTTGTTGTCGCATCTCCTACATAGCTCTCCGCCGCTTAAAAAGCCTCGGATAGCGAGCGGCACGAGTGTGTCTGTGTGCGCAGAGAAACCCATCACAGCAGAGACGGGTTTTCTGTGGATCTCTTTATTTTAATTTAGTAATTTTTACGCAATGAAACCACATATTTGAAATGGACCTTAAAATACCCTTCTTTTTTTTTGCGGATTTTACACGTGATCAAATCCTTTGTGTATTTATTTGTGCATTTTCTGTGTTTTATAGTCACTGTTTCACCACATAGTGGAGCCTCTTTGGGTGGCAGTTTAACCCGTCGATCACTGTGCTCGTGTGACACGTGTTACTGTTCTCCTTGTTGTGTTCTTTCTCCGTGTGCTAACCAGTGAAGGTGGTTCTGTGTGCTTGGGAGTTGCCATTCTCTGTACTGTAATGTGTTTTTTTGGGGTTCATAACGAGTTGTCCAAACCTTTTGTCTTGTTTTGTTTCTTCTTGTCCCTCCCTCCCCTCCCTCTCCTATTGTTCCCCCCCCCCCCTACAGGCTGTGCATTTGTCACATTTTCTACCAGGGCAACGGCAACGAATGCAATCAAAACCATGCATCACTCTCAGACTATGGAGGTACTGTACCCCTTAGCACCTATTTTTCTTTCCTCCCCCCCCATACATTCTGCTGCCCCCTTGTGTTGGAAAGATGAAGAACCTGTCCAAGCAGATGGCCTTCGTTCATCACAGAGCATGAGTCATTTCCAAAACTGCTCTTGCTAATTACAAAATTACATTGTTGTCTGCAAAATAATTGAATAAAACTCGCCCCTCACATAGCTGCTGAATCCGGCACTAAAGACAAGAAATGCTGTCATCTCCAATTTTGGGCTGGATTAAGTATCCCATTTATTGATCCTGACCATATTTTAGAGCCCTCCCATTCTGCCATAATAGATTATATATATTTTGGACCACAGGGAAAGGACCTCCCACCCTCAAATATAGGTTAGCACAGAATGTACCCAGACTGGAGCAGCTATTCCTGTCAGAGTTCTTCAAAAACTAGGTCCATGTCACCATGTAGCCAATGGTATCTTTGTGGAAGTGGAGCAGCAGTAATTTGACAGCTAACAGGTCAGAGCCTCTCCAGTGAAGCAGCAGACAAAGTCTAATCAGAAGCCCAACTGAACAGAACACTCCTCCTACCAGATTTACACTGCCACCTATTTCCCCGCATATCACAACCTCTCCAGTTCTCAGCTGCCACGGGAGGTGCTGCTGGTGCAGAAGCCACATTTCCCTCTCCAGCCTGGTCCCTGTGTGGCACTCAACTCTCAAAATACTTTAGCACCGCATGCCTCGTGCCCATGCGTCTGACTAAATCATATGAGACTGTCTTGTTTGTGAAGTTGTATGTATTGTAATGCATTTTCCTTGTAAAGGTGTGCTGACATATCCTCATTTGAATGTCTGTTTTTTTTTTTTTTAAGTGTTGTCCCCATCTGTTGTCTGCTTGTCTGTGGACTCAATTTAGTTCCTCGTAGTGCTAAAACAAATTGTATGTGTGCAGCATTGTCCTGTGCTCCATTTTTTTTGGAATGTGGCCTGCCTCAGCTCTGCATGGCAGACGTCTTCTGTGTGTTAGCTTTCATACGAATGCAACGGGCATTAAAAAAAGATCTCGAGGCATAGACGATACCCCCGTTTTTGAGTAGGTCCTTGCAACGACTGTGTTCTTGCGTTGATTAATAAACTCTGGATTGTTCAGCGTGCTTCTGAACGGGTCTAACGACTCTGACCTCTTCACTGCTTCAGGGCTGTTCCTCACCTCTGGTGGTGAAGTTCGCCGACACACAGCGAGATAAGGAGCAGAGGCGCCTGCAGCAGCAGCTCGTGCAGCAGATTCAGCAGCTCAACAGCGCCTCCACCTGGGGAAACCTGGCCGGCCTGGGGACCCTCTCACCGCAGTACCTGGCAGTAAGTGTTTGTCCAAACACGCCACCACACAGAGCCGCACAATTACTCGTGTGTCATCATATGGCACAGTTTGGGTTCCAATATGTATCAATAGTTGAACCATATGTTTAACATATGGACCCACTTCACTTGCTGTGCTGGTGTAGAAAGAAACAGAAGCGCCTGGGAATATAAAGGAATACGTTTACATATGGCTGTACATGTAAAGTTTGTATTTAATTTGTGTAGATGGAGTCTAATAGAATTATATTGTCAGGTGACTGCGTTTGTTAAACGGTGAATGTTATGGATGGAAATGCAGCGGCCATTTTGTCTACAATATGGGCAGCAAACCGTTGCAAAAAATTGTTGAAATGGTTACTAAGTTCTCAAAAAGATGACCTCATCATAGAGCTAATAATACAAAACATGTGCAGAATGCACATCACACAAAGGTTTACACATTAAGTTGATTCTCTGCGCCTCAGAAGATGAATATCTAGCTTCACAGTTTTTGTTCTTGATGAAAGACACAGATGTGTGACTTACTCTGGTTTGAAGCTACTGAATGAAGACCAGGACACGGTCTAGAGCGATGCGGTACGGCACAAGCGCATAACTGTAGCTGTGATGTTGTAGGGTTACATCAGACGGCTCTAGAAGTGAAGGGGTGGTGTCTGCTCAGGTGCACCATCTAGTGAACCAGATTTAACTGTGCACGTGTTGTAGCCCAAATTATATGATGCGTGACGTTTATTTTAACTCTCTCCATCTTTAAGTGACATACTCATCGTCTCCAAGTCAAGAACACCCGAGCTGTTTGTGTTTCTGGTAGTAAAACTACAGACATTGAGACAAAGTCTGATTGCAGTCAGATTTGCGATCCGGTCTAACTGAGACACACTTGGATGTGACGAGTGTAAATGAGGCCTAAATCACCAGTAAATTCTGTGTCTAAATAACCAAACTATGCATCATGTGTTAGGTGATGAGTTCAGGGAAGCCAAGACTACAACATGCAATCTTTGTCCTCACATTTACTGTATAAAGGCAACACTTGAACTGACAATGTTGGTATGAAAATTCATCCAAACACATTTTGACTATACTGTTGATACATTGAGACCCGATTGTGTCCCATGTTGATTCTTTCTTTCTTTGTCCTCAACAGTTGCTCCAGCAGGCCACATCCACCAGTAACCAAGGCAGCTTCAACAACATGCAGAGGCTAGGTGGTGAGTTCACCCTCTGATGTTCTGACCACTGGTCGTGAGTCATCCTCTATAAATGAACTGACGCTTTTCATGTCAACAACCTTGTGACTTTGTGCCTGACACCCACACGGTTTTAACTTTCAGATCAGTGGCACGTTAATAATCAGCGCTGTAATTACTAGACAAACACACCGCACATCAAATTAACAAACCACGCAGACCTGTGTGTGTTTAAAGCGGTGTGTTTTCTTTTTAATTAAGAAAAACCGATATGTGATGAAAGATACATTTCTGAGGATTGGTTAGACGTTAACTTGAACAGCAGTAAGATTGATTACAATAACGCGCTGATGTATCCAGGCAGTGTACAATAGAGGAGGCTTAAATAAAAATGTTGCTTTTAATTGATGACATTGTCCCGAAATCATATCCCATTTTAAACTGCAGAGATGTTTTCTCTACGCTTGCAATCTGGAGAAGTTTGTTCCCTCCGAGACGTTTCTGAAAGGCTTTCTGAGAGAGCTTTAGCATAACTTTGGAAGTCTTTGATAATCACCACTGTGTCTTCGTTCTCGCAGCAGGTGTGAACCCCCTTCAGCTGCAGAACTTGGCCACATTAGCTGCTGCTGCGGCTGCAGCCCAGAGTTCTGGCAGCTCGACCTCTACCAGTGCTCTGTCTGCAAACAGCGCAGCCCTGGGAGCCCTGGCTAGTCCAAGTAATTAAACACCGACACGAACTGTAGTATGTGCATGCACTGTATATAAAGTGTTACTCTCCCTGTGTTCATGGTAGTTTTATTTCAGTCAGTGCTTGTTTATGCGGTTTTGCATGCTGGGTTTTTGACCTTTTTGTTAAATTCCCCCATGTAGTTCATCTTCACACATTATATTTACATCTAAGTGTAAATAGAACCCCCCCTCCCCCCCCGCCCCCCCCAACTGAGATGAACCTAAATGTTGTCCACGGTTAGCCTTCCTGCTGCTGTGACCGTATCAACCAACTGCTCTGCAAACCTCCCTCATCTGCTATTTGCCTAACGGCCCTCAGTCATTCCTCATTTATTTTATGGGAGTTAATCAGCCACATATAAAATGTTATGAGAGCCCCCATTCCACTTTTTAATCTGTGTAAATATACATTGGCGCCGTCTGTCTGAGTTTTACATATTGCTGCTGCAGTAATGACCTCTCTTCGTTAAGAACAGATTTCTAACTGCCCCCTCAGTGCTGTGTCACCCGCTCATAACCAAAACAATTTGTGGCAAAGAGGCCAAACGTGTAGAGTGACACGAGGTGTTTTTGAACATGAGTTAGTCACCCGTATGTCATTCTTGTTTTTATTGTGTCGTTGAACAGTGGGTTCATCAGCGACCAGCAGTGCCATGAACACCTTGGCATCTCTGGGCACCCTGCAGGGTCTCACTGGCTCTTCTATGGGCCTCAACCTCAACGCTCTTACCAACAGTGTTAGTGGTAAGAAGGTCCTTTTTTAATGGCTGGATAAAAGCCAACACTTTCACACTAATACCAATGCTGCATTAAGACAGATTTACCACGAGAGAGCAGAAAGACTTTAAAAGCTCACTGAGTTTGATGTAATGCATTCCAATACAACAGCTCAGCCATGAGTTCTACCTTTACATGGACAATAATGTTAGATTTGTTATTTATCTATATGTTTATAAGTGAGGTTTAAATTTGCAGTTGTGTTGAACTGGACTTCATCATACTAAGAGGTGTTTTTATCGTTTTGCCGAATTTTCAAACATTGAGGGAGGAAGAATATTAGACATTTCAATAAAAATCAGTCCAGTACCACACCACCACCTACAACCTCAGTAGTATAAACATAGTTGAACTAACGATGTAGAGTATGTTGCAGAGCTGTTGTACTGGAATGTATTTTATCATATAGGGATACATAATGAAGTGACCAGGGAGGCAGACTTGACAAACAAAATCATTTTTTGTAAAAGTTAGTCTTTCTGCCCCCTGGTGGCCAATACATTTGATTCCTCAAAAAACAATTCTGCAAGTTGCAAAATGTGTTATGAGATAAAACCCCAATCCATTTGTTTGTGTTTGACAGGTATGGCGGGTATGTCTGGTATGTCTGGTATGTCTGGTATGTCTGGTATGTCGGGTATGTCGGGTATGTCGGGTATGTCGGGTATGGCAGGTATGGCAGGTATGGCAGGTATGGGGGCCATGAATGGAGGCCTGGGAGCCTCCATGGCCAACGGGTCAGCAGCCAGCTCCATGGACGCTCTGACCCAGGCCTACTCAGGGATGCAGCAGTACACAGCCTCCGCCCTGCCCTCCCTCTACGGCCAGTCTCTGCTGCAGCAGAGCATCGCTGGAGGGCAGAAGGAAGGTGAGCATCACCACTTTGAACTATCAGGTTTAACTTGAGCCGTTTGTGTCTGTGTGTGTGCATCTTAATGCCTGTCTAACGTGAGTGTTTGGTTTTCTTACCAAATGAAGTAGGGCCAGAGGGCGCCAACCTGTTCATCTACCACCTGCCCCAGGAGTTCGGCGACCAGGATCTTCTGCAGATGTTTATGCCTTTTGGAAACGTGGTCTCTGCCAAAGTCTTCATTGACAAACAGACCAATCTGAGCAAGTGCTTTGGTAAGTGTGCTGGCACCGCTGGTGTCTGAAGCCCTCTTTATTATAACTGATGGGTGGATATTGGTTTGTCATGGTGCACCTGGCCTCCCATTTAAGTGAAGCTGATCCAGTCATGATCTACAGCGAGCAAATGTCATAATAAACATCTCATAAACATGGTTCTCATGTTGTGTCTGCAGTACAATTCAAACCTGTGACATAAGTCCTTTTTGAGTTTGATTGTGCAACATAATTGGTTTAATCTTTTCATTGAGGTTTAGATGGGTTGAAATATTCCCGCCATTTTAATATTGTTCTCGTATTATGTAAAAACATGAAAGTCAACACAGAAATATCTTCTGTTTTAATTAATTAGTTTTATTTTTGTCTTTTGTTTAGTTGACTACAGATTGAAGGATTGTTTTCACTAATGTTTAAACTATAAATGTATTTATTTTTGGATGTATTTAATGTGAAATGAGTGGTATTTGATATATGAACCAATCAATTTATAATTATGTAACCGAGAGAACACCAGCTGGTCATCACATATATAAGAAGCTGTATCAGTATTTATTTGTTTATATTTTATTTACTATTGAGCAAGAAGTGTCTTGAGTTTAGCACCACGTAGCAAAAAATATGCATCTCAAAATGATCTTGAAATATTGTTAGTTGGTTAACTTGTATTAAGTAACCCTGAATACTGTTTTTGAATTATTCAATTAAATCATATTTTCTGGCCACAATCTTAAATAATAGTTGTAACAGCTTTGTGTCAACGTTTCTGTTCTCAGGGTTCGTCAGCTATGACAATCCCGTGTCTGCCCAAGCTGCTATCCAGGCCATGAATGGTTTCCAGATCGGCATGAAGAGGCTGAAGGTTCAGCTGAAGCGCTCCAAGAACGACAGCAAACCCTACTGATCCTAGCCCCGGGGCCTCCCCCTCCCCCCCACCCCACCCCCCCGCCCCAGCTCTAATGCTAACACTGCTAGGGTAAGTTCACCCTCCAGCCAGAGACTCGGTGGGGCCAAGGGGGCAAGGAGCCCACCACTGGAGGGAGACTCACTCTATTCCTAAAAAAAAAAAAATGGTTGCAATGATCTTTCCGCGTTTTACTGTACTCCATTCCTGCGGTTTTATCATGTAATTTGAGTCGGCTTAAATATTTTAATGTATATGATTATTTATGACTTATCACTGGAGTCGGTGTTCGCTGCAGGTACTTTGTGTCACTGTAATTAGTGGAGAGCGTCAGGTGTGTTTCCATGCCATTTCATTGCCTTCAGGTCAAGCTCGACAGGTTGCCTAAGGATCAGTAGTTGTGTTGAAGGGCTGAAGCCAGAGCTTCAACCTGTGTTTGGCTTTTTACATGCAGTCCGTCTCCTTCCTTTCTCCATTCTTAATGTGAACGTCTTCTCCCCCCACCCCCACTCTCTCTCTCTGTCATTATCTAAGTCATGTTGAGCTAGGCTACCTCTCTTTGCTCTATTAACAACCTCTTCCAGTCATTCCATCCATCCTCCAGGTCTCCCACTAAGGGGGGGGACTGGCTTTGGATGGATCTCTTTGGGTGCCAAGTAGACAGTTAGTGCATGTCGGAGTCTCTGCCATACTGGTGTCACTTCCTTAAATCTGTGTATTGTTTTTGTCGGGAAGGGGGCGGGGGGGTTGTTTACTGCACTGTCCTTACTGTATGTGGTGATTGGCATTGTTTTTGTTGGTTTTTGTGCCTCATGGCTAAACGATTCTTGTGCTGTGCCCCTAACTTTCTCTCCTCTTTGTCTTCTCTCTCTCTCTCTCTCTCTCCCTCCCTCTCTCTGTCGCTCTTCCTTTTGTGTTTTTGTTCCTTTTTTAGAACAAATCTCCATGCCTGTTTGCTCATCATTAGCCCTAGCATGTCTTCATGATGTTGAAAGCCAAGCCAAACTCCTGGCCTCATCATCCCACCATTGTCTGTGATGTCTCTCTAAGCTCGCCTGACCAATACCTGGCCACCCACTGACCCTTGACCTTAGCTCAACCTGATTTCTCTGCATGTATATTCATTTTGTTCGGTTTTTTTCTGTATAGATATGTGACAAATGGGAGAGAGGTCAAGCAAATCAATGTGAAAACTTACCTGCGTTGAATTCATTTAAAGAGACTTTTGTTTTGTTTTTTTTGCGACCGTTTTAAAAACCTGTGGGATTTTTAATTTAGCTTTGTTTTTTTTTCTTTTTACCTCTCTCAGTAAAGTTCACTTGAAAGTTGAATACAGGGATTGGCACACAGCTGTGCTATTTGGTGCCATTAGCAATATGTTGGCTTCTTAAAAAAACAAAAGAAAAGCTACAGACCACTTTCCAACACTTTTGAAAGTCTGACATTAAACCCCTCAGTGCTCTGTAATGGTCTCTACATTTTGCGGGCAGTGTGATGATTTGCACCAAGGCTATTTAAAAAAAAAAAAAAAAAAAAAAATTTTTAATTAAAAAAAAAAAAATATCCAGTGTATTTACCTTTTCTTTTGAACTATTGATGGCACAATAAAAGGTACATTTGCTCTGTTTAGAGAAATGGCTACCTACATGAGTCAACTTTTTTAGAACTGATTCACAAATAGACAATCTGTGGTTTAAATGCACACTTAGATTACCTATATTTTATACCATTGAATCTATAGAAGTTTAACTAACAGAACCCAGGCAAAACTTTGGGTTTTTTGTAGATTATGTTGTAATGTCATCTGTGTCGGGGGGGTCTTCAGTGTATTACATTTTTAAAGAGGACTAAAAATCAGTTTGATCAGCGTGACCGTTTGAGGTCATTTCTAGTAAATTAAAAACACTTTAAGTAAAAAAGATCCTCTACATTAATTGTAATTTCAACTTCTAGGGGGGGGGGGGG